GTATGTTGAGCTGTAAAATAATAAGCAATACTCTCAAGGAAAGCAAGTTTTTTTCGGTCACACTCATCCAATTTCAAATACTATAACCTGTGTTTTGTTTTTCATGATGATTGATAGAGGAAAATATCCAACTCCAAACCTTGAAGATAATATATCCTCTTCTTCGTTTGAGTTCGGTGACACCTGAGTTATTATGACTAGATTCTGATGTCTCAATTCTGAAGCTTTGTAAGGGCAGTGCAGAGGTATTCATTTACCTGTTAAAACTGGAATTTACCTTTTTAGGTGCAGGATATTCTGTGCCTCGATTGGCGGATCGTCTGATGCATGGTTGCCACGTGCTCGTTGAAAATCAGCAATTTGCCTACTCTTTTCCTAATTACCATCACAAACAACTGATAGATTGCTAGATATGGAATAAAAAACTATAGTCGAACATTTTAGCCGGGTATGAAGTTCATTAGAATTGAATTAGGTACTTGAGACAGTGAGATCATGATATTATCAGATATGCATAAGTACCTGATGATGTCCTTAGGACCGGATCATCCTTATAAAATCTACTCACAGTTTTGAAACGATTAATATCTTTTTGTTCTTTAGAAAAAGTATTGATCAAAATGTCTACGTTCACACAAATTTGCACAATATTATTTCAATTTTCAGGCATACTATGTTTTTCGTTCGTGTTAATAATTGCGAAATATCATAGTGAGATTTTTAGAGAAAATTCCACATCCTCATTGGATTCAGCATCTTTCAATTAGGTTGATCGCAAAATTTCATTGAAAAATGTTGATTGGTAACAATAAGTTATAACAGCATCCGTTTTCGTAACTTATCATTTATTTATTGAATTGAATGAATTATGATTATGTGAATACATCTACACATTGGGGGTGTTGATTTTTTCTTGTTTTTTTCTCTATCACGATCACAAATATGTGTGGTTCCTTTTGGAACCACAAGGGCGATTGTCATATAGGAAGTGTGCCGTACTTTTTGAAATAAATTTGAAATTTCTTTATTTCTGAAGAAAATAATCTGGAACCTTCACAAATATTCATTGAAACTGAAATAATAAAAAATTGAAATGTGCCACGTTGAAGTAGGAGAGATGCCACTGTCATGAGAGATATGCCACATCGAAGAAGGAGACATGCCTCAGAACTTATTCTTGGACTTGCAAAATTTTTCTTCCGTAATTCGGCCCTGGAACATATGTTGCAATCGTCTCCATACATCATGCATGTCTCGTGTAGCCACTGCAAGTATTTGAGGTATTGGCATTGCAACCAATCATCTTTTTTTTTTTGTTTTTTCAGCAGAAATATTTCTTAGAAGTGGACTTTTTTTGTAAGGGATTCTTCACTCACTCACTCTCACTCCATTCATTATTTGTTGTATTGGGGGTAATAGATTCCTTATTGTCTTCCTTCTCTTTCATTCTTGACATATGTTTATTTTTTTTCATATAGGTAGCTTGCTTCTACTTTTATTGAAGATTATGTCCTACTTCTTTTCTATATTTTCGATGGAATTCAGCACCCTTGGACCCTGATGATGCGTTCTGCTTACTCGAAGACATTCCTTCGGATGAGGCCTCTGTTATTTCTGAAGCCCCTTCTGAAGATGAATTAGAGTACAACGATGAGTTACTTGATGATAATTTCGAAGATACTGGATTACTAACTATATTTCTGGATACTGATCAAGATATCACACACACAGAATACCTCGTTAGACTGGGAATTGGAAGAAGATATCCCATTATGTGAATCAACTCGTGGAGATAATGTGGATGACCATATCAATACAGTGACCCTGATATTCCATGTTTGGCCTTGGTGAAGGATTACATGCACATGAACTTCGTAGATAGATGTAACCAGTATGTTGGTAGTTACAAAGTGGATAGAACGTCACAAAAATAGTTGCCAAGACTATCTTGGTATTTCGTTGACTTAGCATTGGTCAATGCTTTCATATGATTCAAAGTATGCTCTCTGGACACCACAGGACTTAATCTGAAGAAATTCGGCTTTGCGGTAGCAACTGGACCGATAGGTTGGGATCCAGCAATGCCTAGCCCATCAGGAAGACGAAGCACTGAGGTTCCACCAAACCGATTCAAGGTGATCGTACCAGTCGTACCACTCGAAAGGAGATAAGATAAAGTTCGTACGTTCGTTCGTTGTGCAATTTGCAGAAGACGGTTGCAACCGCGTCGAAATAGATGGCACTGCTCCACACATACAAAGTTGAATTTTATCTTACCGAGAAAACTAACTGTTTTCAGGCTCTCTACAAAAATTGATATTTCGATGTGTTAAATATTTTTTCACTACTTTCCTACTGGTGCCTTCATGGTAAAATACTAATTAAAAAATTCAAAAAACTTATTTTTTCCCATTTGTACATCCCCAAAATATGAATTTTTAGGTGAATACTAAAAAAAACATGATAATTAAATCAGTCCCCAAAGGGTTAGCCTAGGTATGTCCCAATAGCTATGACTCATGTATAGGTCATGTATAAGTGAAAAGCATTATTCTCAATTTCAAAGTATGAGCAAATTTAACAGGTGTTGTTACGTCATAGACTTATCAAAAAGGAAATAGAAGGATCCAATTGCAAATAATGACAACAGATATACCTATTATCTTGAGATTTCAATTTAGGTACTTATATATACCTGATTGATGTCATAAAAAGATAGATTTTTTATCACAAACCATTGCATAACATTCTCAGGATTCCTGCATAGTTTGCTATGTTTGTAATAAAGTGATGATTAGAAATATGTGAGTATTTGAATTGATTTCTCCAGTAGATCAATGATAACAGACAATTTTTAATCAATGAACACATCATATTCACAAATATTCGTACAGGGTTATCCATCAAAAAGACCCATTCCAATATTGACGTTATTTTTTAACAAAAAAAACATTATACAGAAGTTGAAGGCAGCACTAAGGTTTTCCCACAGCCCTCATTAGAAGTTTCACCAGGTGATCCCTGAGAAGCGTGACAAATCACAGTTTTTTTTTTCAATTGAACACCCTGTTTTTTATATTTTTTTCGGAATCTGTGATTTTTTGTGATCACAAAAATAGATGTATACAGTATATCTTCTATTTCTACTTGTTCATCAACATTCTTTTGACCCCAGAAAAACAATTTATGTCTGATGATTAGATTTTGGAATGAATTCAATAACTGTCAAGTATATCCTTATTCATGGCTAACACGCTATCTATTGTGTAGAAGCCAACACCAAACATTATTTTTCTGGTGTCGAAAAAAGTGGCTCTAATGAAGTAAAAATAGAGTATAGGTATACCTACTGATGTATATACAGGATGTATCTAAATAAATATTTAAGGGATGATTCTTTAATGAAAATCGAGGTGGGCATTTTGTATCAAATTTTTTTGAAACCCTTTCCCCAGAAAAGTTGTGAGAAAAAATATTTTAGGCATTGAATATTTCAACCCCTTCTAGGCATACTTCGGGGTTGAAAACATCTCAAAACGTGTAGTTTTGTTGGCAAATAATATTTACCCAGTTTCGTGTCTTAACCCTAATATACAGTGAAAATAAAGAAGAAAATCAATTATTTTTTAATCTTCCGAAGGAAGTTACTTTTCCAGGGAGAGGTTTATCAAAAAAATGTATACCAAATACCCACCTTTATTTTCATCACCGAATTACCCCTTGAATTCTTTCGGTGTTATTTAGATACACCCTGTATATTTGTGACCACAGAAAATCACAGATTCCGAAAGAAATATGAAAAACAGGCTGCCCCATTCAAAAATGATAATTTGTGTTTTGCCAGGCTCTTAGGGATCACCCTGTAAAATTTTTGGTAGAGGCTGTGAAAAGCCCCACCGCAGCATTCAACTTCCACATTTTGTTTTTTTTTTTCTCGATAAAAGAAAACATTAATAGGGGTGAGTTGTTTCGATTGACAACTCTGCACATGATACTTTTAGGTCTTCTAATATAAGTAGGTAGAGGAACCAAACCTGCTTTTTCATTCATATGTTACCTATTATTGTCTTCACTGATGAAATTCTATACTTTTGTATACAGGGTTATTCGGGTTATTCTTTGTACTTTTTGTAATTTTGACATAAGATTTGAAACTTTTCAAAACTCTGACGGAAGTTTTGAAACGTCTTACTTTGTGTATAACCATCAGCTGCGCTTCGCTTGTCCCGCATAATCCCATCGTTACAAGAAATGACGCGTTTTCTAGCTGGTTCACCTAGTAAAAGAATAAATGTATTCCAAAAAAAAACAGAAAACCTTGTTTCGTTGAAAATTATAGAAAAATCAAAGTTATTTCAAGAATAATCCTTTCCTGCCTTTTTAGAAAAACAAATGACTCATACATGACAGCTCGATCCTCAAATTTCGGTGGATTTTCAATATGTCTATATCTTTTTTTCATTTTGAACCTTCGAGGTTCGAGGGCCTAGTAACGAAGGGTTTTACCATTGTCGATCTAAATGAAAACCTAGTAGGCGACCTGCCTACTAACTACCTAACTATAGGTTGACATCTAAAACGACAATGGTTTTACAAACAAATGTATAATTTCGGGAGTAAAAGAGGAAGTTCAAAAAACCGAATAGCGTTCATCGAGAAAAAAAACAGCTCAACAATACCACCGTACAATACCTACACACAGTAGGAGTAGGAGCGAACTGGAATTTCCCAATCGGAACGATGTACACGATTCAAGGTTTACCAATAAATGCCATGCCAATAACCACTACTATAATTTCAGAGTTATTCATCAAGTCCCTAACGGTACGAACACACACACTTTGTGTACGCAAATCTTAGTGAGAAATGAGAATCATCGGCAAATAAACTGGTATATTTGACTATTCGAGAGCTATCTGTCAAGGACATCGAAATGGCACATTGTTCCTTCTTTATCAGTGCTCGTTTTATTTGATTTATTATCTTTATAAATGATTTCCAGTGAAAGAATCACACTCATTATATGTACTGGAATCGTGAAAATTTTCGAATATTTTTTGCTCAGTAAAAGCACGTGAGATATATTCTGGTAGCAGGTGAGTGTCATAATCAATATTCATTTTTTTTCCTAACCTCTACTCCGGTGAACAGTAATTTTTTTCATTTTCCGACTGTGCTATGGTAGAAAAAAAACAGCGATACCTATTATAGAAAAGTTTAAGAGGAAGAAACATGAATAAAATCTCATTTGAAAAAAGAATTGAAAAAACAGAACAACATCTGGACTCGATATAGAAAAACGTTATTGACAACAATACACCCAGACAGCACAGAATATTCTATGAATGTTCTCACAACGTTCACAACATACTTTCTTCAGAATATTCCGAAAAATATTCATAGAATATGATGAGGATGTTCTGCATGAATGTTCATGGAATGTTTCACGAGAATATTCAAAGAACATTTCATCTAAATATCCTAGGATCCTTTTCTTTCTTGAGGTTGATTCAAATCTTACGCTATTTTCTCAAATTACTTCGTTCATACACATTAGGTGCGCTGAAACTAAATGAGCATTCAGACATCGTGTTATTTTCAAAGTGTCTGAAATAAATATCACCCTATAAGGGACACTTTTGAAACATACAGTTATTATCAACATATTATTTTCCTCCTATATCGATGATCCATAAAAATAATGTCCATGCGCTTCACGAGAATATATGATGTTGTATATATATTCATGGAATGTTCTCTGAGAATAATCTGAAGAATATTATGAGAACGTTATTGAAACGAGCATTTTCGTCCAGTTCGCCATTTTCAGACATTTCAATAAAAACAGCAACAGGACAAAACAACGAGAGAATGACACCAAGACAAACAAATGAAAACGGCGTGACCGAGAAATATAAATAATAATCAATCAATCAATCAAACTTCCATTTATTAAGTTTTCTTTAACAATAACATTGTTGTAAAATAATAACTGATTCAACATCAGGTCATACAATGAAAAATAAATATATATATTTTAAGGAAGTGAAACAATAGTTAATATTGACATATGGGGTTCAGCACCAAAACATACGCTGATGCTCTTAGATTCCATCCAGAGAAGAGCCATCCGCCTGGTGGGTGACGCCACACTCACTCACTCACTCTTTGACATCATTGGAACACCGTAGAAAGGTCGGCGACCTTTCACTTTTCTTCGGAAATCTCTGCTATCATCCCTTCACTAGCAATACCAGTCAGACGAACTAGACAAGCCCAGTCAGCACATCCTTTCGTTGTCAACGTCGAAAGATGTCGAACAGCACTTTATCAAAACTCCTTCATCCATAGAACGGCTAGGCTCTGGAATTCATTGCCTGAGGAAGTATTCCCAACAACATATAATCTCCAGAAGTTCAAAAAACATTTCAATACCTACCTCCTATCCCTATCCTCCCTAGGAACGCACGATGTTCTTTGAACATTATAGGGATTCCCTTTCGTGCGCTCCAAGCGATAAAAAACATTAAAATATCATTAAAATGATCTGATAACTATACTAATTTACTCACATCATGATTCCAGGAGAAATTCATCAACAGAGTGATATGCTTTTGCAATAAAAATGATTTGAGTTGCCTTTTGAACACATTACGAACGACGAAACAGAAATACATTTTCAATGTTCAATGTCTACAGATTTATAAGTAAATGAGAAATGAAGAAACAATAAAGATGATAAAGAATGTTTTATCGTGTCATATGTTTATTATTTCGATTTTTGATGTCCAGAAATAGACCCTATTGCAATTATGAGATTATATGAAACGATGATTTCGTTGCAGACACTGAATCATGGAAGAACATGGAGCAGAAGAAAAACCAAAAAAGAAAAATCGATACGATGACTCCAATATCGTGTTTCGACTATTTTTTTGGTAAGTACAGCCAATTCGCTCATCATTTAATCAAAGTGCAAAAATTTCGTGAAAAGTATAATTCAAAGATCATGAACACCGGAATGTGATACTATACTGGCTGTCCCAGAGCTTTTAGCCCAGCAGAGATATCTGGGATATCTAAGTAACATCATTGAGTCTTCACACTAGTGTAAATAATCAAGGGTAACATACAAACGAATTTCATATTGCACTCCCATGTTTCTTTCGGTTCATTTCATAGAACATCTCATTTCAATTCGACTATACATCACGATCGGTATAGCGGTATAGTCAGTAGTAATACTATAAGTACTTGAAAATATTCGGGTTCTACATCGATAACTTGTTGTATTATTTCAGAGAGTGCCAGTTTGACAGTTGAAATATTATTCTCATTCTATTGACGATCTTTCGCTCCCATATATTTCACATTTATTTTTATTTTCTTTATATATGTTGGATAACCCATCAGATATTTGCTGGCCGAAAATCTCTGAAACACCCGGTAGAATCAATATGAAATCTCGTATCTACACTAGTGTCAAAATATTAAATCACATTACACAAATTTCCCAATTTTTAGGTGTTATTGGATATATTTAGTTTATCTTCGAATTCGACCCACTGCAGATTTGGAAGCTATGCTGATGCAAGGTTGTAGAAATCACTGAAACGGACGTTCAGCAATATTGCAAATGCAAATTTGTAAATGTAACGTTACAGCAATGTCACAGCAATATGTGATATTGCTGCAACGCTTCATTATCAACATTGCATCAACCTAGCATTCAACTTTGCCTAGTGGGAAAATTTCAAATAATAATGACAACGGATTTTTTCAGTTGGTTATTACCATTTTTCTATATGGGCTACAAAAGAGAACTCACTGAAGATGATATGAACGACCATCGGAAAGCCCACGATGCTGGAAAATTGGGAGACAGAATGGAGGCAGCATGGAACAAACAGTTGATGAAGAACAAAAAAGACCCATCTTTAATAAAAGCGATTCTGAGTGTGTTTCTTCCAGAAGTATTAGGGCTATTCTTGATTGTGTCAATTTGTGAGGGTTCCAGGTGAGGTCAAATATAGCAGTCAAAAATCAGAATAAATTTGAAAAATTTCATCAGTCTCAATGAGACTCCCAGCATACAGTGTCATTCATTAAGTTGGCATCATATTGGAATAACTTTTAATGATGAGATATTATGAAATTCGACTTGGGCGTTAAGTTTTCGGTCGCAGTCACGTGTCTTTTGCTACATGTCAGAAGTTACTTATTTTTCAAAATAATCTCTGAAAATATGCTTATTCGTTCGAATTCCGAAGTAGTTCACGAAGAACAAAAGTAATTTCAATTCCAATTTTACACACGTGTCTCGAATTTGGACATTTTATTGCATTTTTTAGTTCTTGATATTCTTTGGTTCCTTCTAATTGTAACTTCGATGAAACTATTAGTCAACTTTGGTTATACAGGGTGTTGCAAATTCGTGGCTGAACATGAGGATCTCGGTAATCTGCTTCGAATTTGAAAAAATTTAATTTATTCCCGGAGATAATAAGGAAAATATGTAAAAACGTATTTATTCATGACTCAGTTTATTTGTAGAGATATTTCAAAATGAATGTCACTTCATCTTTGCCATTTTTCCTACTTTACAACATAGAATTGTCAAATTAGAAATACGACGGGTTCTTCTTCGAGCGTCCATCATCAACTTTATTTTTTGAAATACCGACCTGGATTTTTTATTCCATTTTTTGATAGTTTTCAATCTCCTTGATATGATGGTGTATCAAAACATCACTTAAAACTTTCATTTCAATGAACTCTTGAATATCCAAAAGGAGAGCCTGAAACATAAAAATCCTCTGGAATTGAGAATTGACATTCTCTCTCAAATCAGATAAATAATATAATATATTATGATATTAAAATATAACTTACCTATATGTTCAGTATAGAGATGAAAATTGAAATGTATAGGAGAAGTTTACTTATATAAACTCTGATCTTGATGAGCTCTAGAAAATCCAAAAAAAGATCATTCATATCAGTGAAATGGGAATTACTTATATCTCGCACAATCAGGTTATATGACTTTATTCGAATGAGCTCATTTTGGATCTCAAACCCTCCTCAGTAACACTGTCTCTTTTTTTTTTCAGATTACTTCAACCTCTACTGATATCGCAACTGTTGGCTTTTTATGATAATAATGAAATCGAACAGAACAAAAACGACGCCTACTTGTACGCAGGTCTCATTGTACTTACGGCATTAATAGCTGTTTTTTCTATACACTACTACCAACTGCGGATAGCGCAAGTGGGCATCAAAGTACGGATTGTTATGTGTTCTCTCATCTACAGAAAAGGTATTAAAATCATCAAATATACAAAGTAATTTGACGAAACATCAACTACAGCTTCAGAATCAATTGAAACATGTTTTTTGATAAACAGCAATAAAATTCTAAAAATCAATTTACGAAGATTATACGTTATATTTAGATAACCGGCAACGTTGGCCACAAACAATGACTATTTTCTGGTAGGAAACTACAATTATACAATTATATCCAGTAAAGCCCACTGGGGCTGAAAGTATCACTGTTTTTTTTTAACATCAAAGTATTGCTCCTCTGAGTAGCTTTCTTCGTGCTGTTGGTACAATTCAACATTTTTCTGATTAATTTCTTTAGAAATATTTGATTGGATGATCATTTTAACTTCTCTATGAAGAAAAATACTCCCAAAACTGTAGAGGGGGGCTTTGAGAATTGTTTAGGGACTTGATTGTTTTCTAGTAATCCTAGTGAAGAATTAATCTCTTAAAAATGACGTGTAGGCTAATAAAATTAAATCGAAAAAAACCGTTTTGAGGAATTAATTTCCAGCAAACTGGAAATCGTTTTAATACCTCTATTTGGTCCTAAATGCGTGTAATCTGAGTTTGCACCATGTCAGGTGGTGAGCTCAACTTTTGATAGCCAAAAAACCGCCACATTTTTGCACTTTTTTTATTTTTTTGCTTATAGCTGCAAAACGGTGCGTCGGACGGAAAATGTTATTCCATTCAATAATACAGAGGACAAAATTCTGCGTCGAATGACATCTGAAAACATCAAATTCCGTTCAGAGGTATAGCCGAAATCGAATGTTAAAAAAATGAAGATTTCGTAGTTCGGTGCAAACTTACATTTTGCGTCTTTCCAAGACGACATTTCTTGAAAACAGATACTCCTATTGAAAAAATTCATTGAATAAAAGTTGTAGAGAATAAAATTTCATAATCATAGTCCCTAATAGTTAAGGTACAATGCACCGAACTACGAAATTTTCTTCTTTTTTAACATTCGATTTCGGCTATACTACTAAACGGAATTTGATGTTTTCAGATGTCATTCGACGCAGAATTTTGCCTTCTATATTATTGAATAGAATGACATTTTTCGACCGATGAACCATTTTGCAGCTATAAGCAAAAAAATAAAAAAAGTGCAAAAATTTGGCGGTTTTTTGGCTATCAAAAGTTAAGCTCAACTCCTGGAATGGTGCAAACTTAGATTACACGCATTTGGGACCGAATGAAGGTAATTAAATGATTTCCAGCTTGCTGGAAATTAATTCCTCAAAATATAATTATTTGATTGGCCTAGTGGTCTTTACGTATAATTCTCGAATTTTAACCACTCAGAATCTTATAAGTAAAATTTGGAAATATTGCACTAGATGTCGGATGGTTTGTTCAAAAATACAAATAAACTGAGACACAATCAAAGATTCTTGTTCTAATTCGACAATCTCATTATTTTCAGCACTGAGGCTGAACCAGTCGGCTCTCGCTGATACCACAGTGGGTCAGATGGTGAACCTTCTCAGCAACGACGTCGGACGCTTCGAAACTGGAATGAACTTCTTGCACCATCTTTGGTTGGCTCCGTTAGAAACTTTTCTGGTCATGTACCTCTGCTACAACGAAGTGGGATACACTGGACTAGTCGGCACTGCATTCCTCCTTTTATCCATACCAGTACAATGTGAGTACCTTAGTTGAACCCAGTTCTGTAGCTGAGACCTCAAATCATGTACTTTCCAGCTTGGCTTGGAAAGAAAACATCCCAGATGCGACTGAACGTAGCAATAAGGACTGACGAGCGAGTCAGATTGATGAACGAGATCATCGCTGGAGTCCAAGTCATCAAGATGTACACTTGGGAGAAACCCTTCACCAAACTCGTGGAAGTGGTTAGAGCGTAAGTTATCTGCCGAAGCAAGTCCAAACTGCCCCTAACACTTTCTTTCCAGGAGGGAAATAAAATACATTCGCTTCACCTCCGTGATCCGAGCCATCTTAATGTCCTGTGGCCTAGTACTAAACAGAGCTGCTGTCTTCCTCTGCATAGTAGTCTACGTCCTCACGGGAAACGTCTTAACATCTGCCTATTGCTTCACCATGACTTCCTTCTACCGCATACTAGCCTCAGTAACGATGTTCCTGCCAATGGCAATATCCACCATAGCCGAAATGATGATTTCCGTCAGAAGAATCAAGCAGTTCCTGCTCTACGACGAACTAGACGCTGACACCAGCTGGCACCTAGACTCCTCCAACAGCTTGAGCAACGGTTCCCTCAAGCCATCCAACTCAGGCACAGTCGGTATCCGCCTCAAGCGAGTCTCAGCCAAATGGCTGAAAACCAACCCCGAGAACAACCTGAGCGATATCGACATGTCGGTGAGACCAGGCGACTTGATAGCAGTTGTAGGGCCAGTGGGCACAGGCAAAACCACGCTGCTCAACCTCATCCTAGGCGAGTTGAAGCCCTCCGATGGTTCCGTACAAGTCAAAGGTTCCATATCTTACGCTTCGCAGGAACCTTGGTTGTTCGGGGGTACGCTCAGGCAGAACATCCTCTTCGGCCAACCGTTCGACCAGAAGAAGTACGATGAGGTAGTACGCGTGTGCGCGCTAGAAAGAGACTTCGCCTTGTTTCCCTACGGAGATAAAACCCTTTCTGGGGAACGTGGAGTTAGTTTGAGCGGGGGGCAGAGGGCCAGGATCAATCTGGCTCGAGCTGTTTACAAAGAGGCAGACATTTACCTCCTGGACGATCCTTTATCTGCTGTGGATGCCCATGTGGGGAAACAGCTGTTCGATGAGTGCATCAGTTCCTACTTAGCCAACAAGTGTGTAATACTGGTTACACATCAGCTCCAGTATCTGAAGAAGGTTAAAAGGATTTACCTTCTGGAGGAAGGTAGAGTTTTGGTTACTGGGTCCTACGATGATTTCAGAAACACGGACAGCAAATTTTCTAAGCTGCTGGAAGATTTAGAAGTGGAGGAAGAAGAAATCAGGAGGAAATCCAAGATGGTGGAGGCGGAGGGAAAAAAGGAAGACACTGAGGGACCAGCACAAGTTTTGAAAAAAGAAGAAAAGGGGGTGGGAAACATCTCTTGGTGGGTATACAAGAGTTACATGAAAGCTGGCGGGAATATACTGAAATTCATCTTTGTGGTTTTGGCGTTTATTATTAGCCAAATGCTGGATAGTATGGCCGAGTATTTCATCACTTTTTGGTAAGTAATGCTTATAGTCCCTTCTGCTTCATGTGAACATTGATTGACCCATATTTTCAGGGTCAACATCAACCAAGATTCGAAAAACAACTCAACCGAGATCCTACAAAGAGGTTATCTCCAGAATGACTCCAGCCAACTATTCTCAGACACAGAAAACATGTTTAATACAAGTGAAAACCCCTTACCTATTCAGCAATTAGTACCAAGGGATGAACCAATCGTTTGGTGGCTGAGTTTCCTCTTCACTAGCGACTATACTGTCATCTACTACGCTATCCTCTTCCTGCTCATTGTTATTTTTGCGTTCTCGAGATCTATAGTATTCTATAGCTGGTGCATAACAGCTGCCTCCAGAATGCACAACAAGATGTTCAACAACATTGTTTACAGCCCCATGAGCTTTTTCAACAATAATCCTTCCGGAAGAATCCTCAATAGGTTCTCCAAGGATATAGGGTCTTTAGATGAGGTGCTACCTATGACGCTTTTGGATACAATGCAGGTAGATTATTCATCATCAACTCTTGAACTTTCTATAGCCCTATCATTTTACAGATTGGACTATCCGTGCTTTCCATTTCTGTTGTCATAGGATCTCTCAGCGTTTGGATTCTTGTACCAACTATATTTATCCTTACTTTATTCTACTTCATGAGGGTATTCTACTTGGAGACTAGCAGGGACGTCAAACGGATAGACTCTATCAGTAAGTTTATCATCAATTTGTCGAGGAATAGAACACTGTTAACCATTGTTTCAGCTCGAAGTCCCATTTTCACGCATCTGACGGCTTCTCTGCAAGGTCTGACTACCATAAGGGCTTTCGGAGCTGAAGAGGTCCTCAAGATCGAATTTGACGGTTACCAGAACACGAACAGTGCAGCCAGCTTTATGTTCTTGGGCGCCAGCAGAACATTCGGCTTCTGGTTAGACTTCCTTTGCGTTGTATACGTTGCTTGCGTTCTGGCCATACTTCTTTTCCTCAAAAGCGGTTAGTTGACATTTATCACGCACTTTCATGCACCATAGAAGTAAGGAAAACACTTATTTCAACGAACCTTGTCATCAGTCATATTTTGTGAAAATGATTGTTCTCCTGAAGATAATAGAATGATACTCCCATCAAATAATCTCCATCTTCGTAGAAACGTTCGGTGGCAACATTGGCCTAGCCCTCACGCAGACCATGGGCCTAATGGGCATGTTCCAGTGGGGCATGCGACAATGGTCCGAAATGGAGAACCAAATGACCTCGGTAGAGCGAGTCCAAGAGTACGCAGACCTCAAACCGGAGTCAGAAGGTTCAGTCCGCGACCCTCCCAAACACTGGCCGGAAATGGGAGCCGTCGAGTTCAGGGATATGTCCCTGAGGTACTCCCCCGAGCAGCCGTTCGTGCTCAGGAACCTGAGCTTCCGCGTGAACGCAGGGGAGAAGGTGGGAATCGTCGGGAGGACTGGCGCAGGGAAGTCCTCGCTGATCCAGGCGCTTTTCCGATTGGCTAGCATCGAGGGCAGCATACTGATCGATGAAGTTGACACTAAGACGGTGTCGCTCAAGACGCTTAGGTCCAAGATCTCCATCATACCGCAGGAGCCGGTACTGTTCTCTGGCACGCTCAGGAAGAATTTGGATCCGTTCGACGAATACAAAGATGAGGTGAGTTTTGACGTACTGATTATGTCCTCAAGGACTATTTAAATGTTAGGTTGGGACATTCATAAAACTTTGATATCATGTAAGGTCGACATCCATAGGGAGTCTGTGGAACTTCGAACCTTCTCACCAATTGGGGATGTCTTGAAAGACTTCATCGTGAGCACATCGAACCAGAACAGTTAAAACTGTTTCAGCAGGGAGATTGGGTCACTCTAGGCCTCTAGTAAATCTACTTACTAGCCTCAAAAATACTTCTTTAAGTCTTATTCTAGGAATTATTCCGATATTGTTCCTATTCGCGATAGAAAATAAGCGTACGCCACCTATCGGAGTTTTTAAAAGCTGTTCAAATGAAAACAAACCGCTCAAGAAGTATTCAAAGGTTGCCGTCAGATGGGGCGACGTGCTATTTTTTATCGCGAATCTAAGATAACCTGAAGACCTAGATCGGGAATATTCAGAGAACATCCCTGAGGAATGTTTCTGCATATTTTCTTGCACCATATTCTATGATATGAACCCATTGGGCCGTCTGTAGAATGTAGTTTTTAAGATTTTTGAAGAGATGTAGACGCTGACACCTCCAAAGAACATCTCTGAAGTATTGGGATATCCACCAGGACTTTATTTTGAAGACATGCCAAAGAATTTACTGAACTTATTGTACTTCACTCTATGATTTCCGATTATATTTTTTCGTTTTCAGATTCTGTGGGACGCTTTGGAACAAGTAGAGCTGAAGAACGCAGTGACCGATCTACCGTCAGCTCTGGAGAGTAAGATGGCCGAAGGCGGTTCCAATTTCAGCGTGGGACAGCGACAGCTGGTGTGCCTAGCTCGAGCCATAGTACGCAACAACAAAGTACTGGTACTAGACGAGGCCACAGCCAACGTGGACCCGCACACCGATTCACTCATCCAGCAGACCATAAGGAAGAGGTTCGCGGATTGTACGGTACTCACTATCGCCCACAGGCTGCACACCATCATGGATTCCGATAAGGTAAAGTTATTTGTCTACATAATCAGTAGTATAATGTGTCACAAATGAGTAATTCTGACTCTGGATAGAAATTCGACTATAACTTATTTGTTCTTTATAAGAAAACGATCCCTGCTCGGGCTCCATTTGCAGAAACACTTCTGGAAGAATGCCTTGATAGCAACAAGTGGCGAAGGTTTTTTTAATCACAGACTACTTTCTAAGTTGTACTTTACCTTTCAGTACACCAGGTGTCAATTTTATGTCAGTCATAGGGTACAGTTGGTGTAATCTGGAATATCAGTTGCCTACAATTCGATTCCTTTAAGCGACAGATAGAATCTATTGAATGGAGGTTCCACAAGGAAGCGAGTTAGGGCTCCTTCTCTTCATCATGTATTTGAATGATCCAGATCATATAATTGATGTGTTGTTTAAGCCTGAAGATGGATAAATATTGACTCAACATTCCTAATCAGACATTATTTTTTCAAGGTTTTGGTGATGGATGCGGGCAAATGTGTCGAATTCGATCACCCCCATTTGCTATTACAGAACGGAAATGGGGTATTCCATTCTTTGGTTATGCAGACAGGAAGAGCAACAGCGAAAAATCTGATGGCGATTGCCGAAGAAAAGTTCAACAGTGAGAAGAATACATGAGAGACAGTGATGTAGATAGATCGAGGAGTATACCTGAATACAAAAGACGTCGAAAAAAATCGATCCAGGATTTTTAAATTCTTTTGTTATGTGGAAGTGAGAAACGCCTTATATATGCATTTATTGTACATATACGGGTAATTTTATGATATTTATATGTGTTTACGTTGTTAAGTTGTACAGTGGAATATATTTTATATTTATGTTTGTGTTAATGTTGATGAACATCCCTCTTATGAAATCAATCAATCAATCAATCAATCAATCAATCAATCAATCAATCAATCAATCAATCAATCAATCAATCAATCAATCAATCAATCAATCAATCAATCAATCAATCAATCAATCAATCAATCAATCAATCAATCAATCAATCAATCATTGATATTTGTAGAAAGTCACCTTTTGAATTTCGTTTTCTGTTATTCAGGTACTTGTTCTTATCTATTCACGCAGTGAGAGAACTTATCATTTTCATCGCTATTCGCTTGATGAAGAAATTTGTTCATCGAATGAAACACTATACAATGGTCAGGTTAGGTTAGGTTACCTATTTGGGATTTCATTAAATTTAAATTCTTCGCATTTCCTCCATAACATAACAGTCATAAAAAGTGTGCCATCGGGGATTGACCAATGACAAGAGAAGAGGGTAAGTAACAATTATTTATTGTCTGAGGATGAAACTGGGATAGTCGGTATGGATTAAGGTATGGTCTGTTTGGTGGCTGCAACAGGATAAAATGGCATTACATTCGTATTTATTGATAAAAATGATAATAATCAGACGATAAAATGAACCTCATCAGCACCCAACCGGTTCCGAACCGATACTATGCTATCAATGATATAAATAACGAGAATACATAACAGAGATTCACTGGTACTTATACAAAAAGCAAAAATAATCACAAGATAAATAATTTCATAACAACTAGAGATCTCACTTCCATTCCATACAACCAACACTCTACCACACCCTGCATTTATGCACAGGATTCATCTTGGTACCAGCAGGACAATTGAAGTCCTTGTAGAAGTAATCAGAGTTGGCCATGGGTCCTTGTACCCTGAACTGGCCGGGAGAATGGTACCTGTAAAGATATCAATGATATTTTTAAATATTGATTTGATAGATGGGTGGAAGGTTGAGTGAATTTTTATTCTGGAAGTTATTATTTATCAAAGTCATGACAACAACAACTATTATACAAGGTGTTACAACACATTACCCTGTGAGGATCCTCAGCTTCAGGCTTTCCGGACGGTACTTTGAGCACCACGTGTTCGCAGCCGATATCCAGAACATCTGGTTGGGGGTGTACTTCATGCCGGGCAGTTTGGGTTCTTCCCCGAAGCGTTTCACCCACTTTTGGTAGGCCAAATATGCCTCTTTTAGGCCACCATTGTCTGCGATGTTCTCTCCTTGCGTATTGACACCGTTGAGCTGGAAAACGTGAGGGTTGTTATACGGGTAGGGTGGAAATATTTCCGTTCATTATTTGATAATTGAGAAGCATTTACAATATAGTGTCTGCGGAAAGGAAGTCGAACAAAAATAATACATCTTTTTTAGTAGGTGCCATTTTGTATGGTTTTAGTTCTTGGCTGGTTCGTTGACGGTGCTAGCAAAATATGGACGATTGAGTAGTGTACCCTCAGCTCAATCGACCCCTTGTAGTTTGACGATTCTGTGACATTTTCGTGGAGGTTCTGTGACGTTTTTGTAACCGTTTTGTGACAATCTTGATGCTTTGACAAATCCGTGACGATTCTTCGACGTTTGGTAGCGGTTTTGTGACGTTTATAATGCTTTGACAAACCCGTGACGTGTCTGTGAGGTTTTTGTTACGTTTCTGTGCTGTTTTTGTTTAGCCCTGTTAGCCCCGCCATCCTAGCAGATAGCCCCGCTTTTCAACTCCGCCACTCGTATAGACGGAGGTAATGAAACAAAATTGTCAATTGATTGGGTTTGTCAAAGCATAAAAAATGTCACAAAAACGTCACAGAACCATCACAAAAACGCTTAGGCAGGTATTTCAGTTAGGAATGATGCATGGGTTAGATATGGGTCGATTGAGCATTACGTATCTCTTAGGATATATTAGAATACGGCCTTGATACGACATTCCTTCTTGCATAAAAACAACTTGAAATAAACTCATAATATATTCTGTATTGCCAATCTTATCCTCCGATACCCAACAAAATTAGTTCACTTAGTCGCTCATAGATACTGACCCCTACTAAATAGAATTCCTGGCATAATTGCCTATATAAGAGGGTCCATCTTGCTAGTGAAACAATCAAGAATTCGATGTACAGGGCATCAGAGTATGAATTTTGAATAATTTGACGATCTGATGAGCTATTGATTTCAAATTCGCTGCCGTGATTCTGATTAAATACCCAGTCAACACACGGACATTCGATGGACATCCATTGGACGTCCGTTTAGGATATTTGGGATATCCAGAGAATATCCAGTGATATCCGATGTATATCTTATGGACGTCCAATGGACGTGCCGAGTGGAAGGAGTTGGACTTCTATAGGATATCCTTCAGGGACATCCATAAGACATTTTTCAGGGATACCCATAAGATATTGTTCACAAATATCCATAAGACATTTTTCAGGGATATCCATAAGATATTGTTCACAAATATCCATGAGATATTTTTCAGGGATATTTACTAAATATCCTCAACAATATAGAACACCATGTATATTATTCCATAATGAATTAGGAACTATTATAACGAATTCAACGGTACCGGATTGGATAGGGTTATTTCAAACGATTACGAAGATATTTGCATTCGAAGTTTTCATATGCTCATTGAGGATATGGAAATGTGAATATCTTCCTAATCGTTTGTAGAAATCCTATCAAACACAGTATCGTTGAATTCGTTATGATAATCCTTAACCGATTATGGAATAAAATACAGGGTGTCCCGTTTGAAAATGCCATCCTCGGTTAAACCAAAAGTGCGGTAAAGCAAGTAGATATGTCGAATAATATAAAATGAACTATAATTCATGACCCCAATTGACGTTTTACTACCTACAATGATGAAAAAGTTATAGGAGTGAACCACCTTAAAAAATCACCAGGTAGGAGTATGTAAAAAAATAAAATTTATTCAATTGTTGCAAACCGAATAACAAATGTTATAATGTGAATATAAATCAAACTAAATAACATTTTTTATATATAAAAAAACAAGTATACATTCAACAAAGTATAAAATAATAAATATTCTAATTGAATTTGCAAATAACAAAAAATAAAACAGGTCACTATATGAGAATTAAACAAAGGAAATAAAGGAATACTGTTATGATGTGAATATAAAACTAACTAAATTGAAATATGAATAATATATAAAAAAGAAGTAAACATGCAAAAAAGTATAAAATAATAAATATTCTTATTGAATTTGCAAATCACTACAAATTAAAAGTTATTTTGACATAAATGTGATTTTATGTTTTCTTTGGATATCTTATGGCTATCCATAAGATATCTTCTGATGGATATCCGCTATAAATCCATGGATGAATATCTCATGGATGTCCATCTGAAGACCACAAAAAAGTAAATATATGAGAGCTATTTTCGAGTGATATAGTATATTTTTGTACGAAAACATTGAACAACAGAGAAAAATTCCAAACTGTGGTGTTGTTATTTATATGAATTCATATTTGCATCGGATATCTTAATTGTGGCTATAAACATATTATACCTACATAACAATAGTTATATGATGGAAAACTACCTTTGAATTTCTAATAAACATGGGATTTGCATGTGATATTTGTGATGATTCGTATTGTTTTGAACCATTCTAAATTAACAATTTTTGTTCGCTAAACGAACATCTTATGGACGTCCATAGGTGATCCGCATCAGAATATCCATTTGATATCCTCTGACGGATATCCTATGGATATCCATTTCATGTCCCAGGATATCCCGACCTGAAATGGACTTGAAAAGGATATCCATAGGATATCCTGTGTTATCTGGGTAGTCGAGTTTTCAAAATCAACTATTTCAAATTTCACACATCGACACTATGTTGTCAAAGATAGGGACTCAAAATAAAATTGTATAAGTCATATTATAATAATATATGGTTAATTGATTGACCTCCATTCCACGAACACTATGAATAATTATAAAGTTACTGCACTATTGCAAAAAATCCAAAGACTGATGATTATAAAAAAAATAGCAAAAATAAAATAAAATCCATAAGTACCACACATGATCAAGTGAAGGTTTTATGATACATGCAAAAAATATATCTACAGTGTGTACTCCAAGTTCATTTTTTATCTTTATGGCATGCAGTGCTTAGCCCCAAACCATATTGAACTTCGAAAAGTTGCAATATAGAAAAATAATGTTAATAATACATGCAAAAAGTAAGAAAACAACACCAACACCACTTTTAAGTAAAAAAAAATCTCACCTTCCAGCCTTCCACAGCCCTCGCAAGCATTAGAAAATCGGGGTCAGAATAAACTAAACCTTCGGCGAAACTTTATTATAATAACACGTAAGCATCACAACTGATTCAAATATCGAATTCTGAAATGTAAGTACTTGAAATACAAAAAAAATGTGACGTAACAGTGCCCAGAGATTACACATCCACTCAATTAAGACTCATCCGATTGGATTGAGAATTTGTACCATCATCAACAACAATTATTATATCAAATTTCCGGAAGTCATCATATCCTATATTTACTTTCAACCCCCTCTGATGAGCGTGAAACAATATCCTGAGTAGGTAAGGGGCCACTTCAGACAGCCCCTCTTCTTCACTTTGATCTGCCTACAAAATGAAAAGGGCTAGTCTAAAGTGTCACATTACCTACAGAGGTGGATAGACAGAAGGCTCTCTATCATAGACATTTCAGTCTTGTGACTACTGTCATTTTAGACCGTACAAAAATGCTGATATCGCGACTTCTACCAAACTTGACATTCGTGTCCGGGGTTCGTTTTCAATCATATAACTCACTTGAAATCTTTCACCACTTTGAAATCAAAAACTCTCACCTTCCAGCCTCTCACATCTCTCGCAAGCATTAGAAAATGGAGGTCAAAATAAACTAAACCTTCAGAAATGAAACTTTATTATAAAAACACGCAGGCATTACTACCGATTCAAATATTGAATTCTAAAATGTAAGTACTGAAAATACAAAAAAATGTGACGTAACAGTGCCCAGAGATTACCCATCCACTCAATCAAAACATCAGATCGGAGCTGAGAATTTGTACCAGCATCATCAACTATTATATCACATTTCGGGGTTGCACCTTATTCTCTATTCACATTCAAATTCCCCTCTGATAAGCGTCAAACAATATCCTGAGTAGGTAAGGGGCCACTTGAGACAACCCCTTCCCTTCACTCTGATTCGCCCACAAATTGGTAGTGGCTAGTCCAAAGTGACGCATTACCTACGAAATCAGATAGAAGGAAGGATTTTCATCACATTCGTTTCAAGTCTTGAGATTACTGTCGTTTCAGAGCGTACAAAAATACTGATACCGCGACTTCTACCAAACTTGACACTTGTGTTCGGGGTTCATTTTCGAACCTCGAACGCACTTGAAATCTTTCGCGAAGTACTCCATATCGGACAGAGGCCCCACAACCCTATATTTATCCGGAACGTGCTCATCGGTAACGACCAATTGCTGAAGCTCCTCGTTTCTGGTGCGCGAACACCAGATGCTAGATGCAGAAATCCAAAACATCTGATTGGGTGTGTATTTGAGGCCAGGTAGGTGTGGCTCGATCCCGTTGCGCTCCACCCATCTGTTATAGGCCAAATAGGCTTCCTTAATGCCTCCGATGTCAGCGATGTTTTCACCTTGTGTGTTAATGCCATTCAACTGCAAAGGAATAAGGGTCGAGCCAGTGTTAGTTGGCGGGATATGCCTCGGCTGGATAGGCATATTTGCTACATTCCTGATTCGAGGCCAGTAGTATAGCTGGGTGGGCCTTGGACAGTTTGGTGATTTTTCTGTCATTGTCATCTCTCCACCTTTTTTGTTCTTCGCCATTATGATTGATATGTCATTGGGCTTGTGTGAGTAGAAAATTAATATATGAACACCAACTTCCTTGAGATCACCCTTCATGAACAGTCTGCAGTTTACACCAACCCAACTTATGTAACATACAAACTTGTAGGTACATTTTGTCTTCTGTGTTGTAGCTACGACATCGTTTCTTCGGATAAGATAGCTACAAGGAGACTTTACAACATTCCTCGACGAATTCACCAGCTATCATCATTGAACAGAGGAATAATTTTCATTGAGCTAAACTTCAATGAAGGGGGTACTCTTGTGATTTTGAAGAAACATTCAAGAAAAGCACTGTTCCAGGACCGTCCCAGTTATACTACTAATGTTCATGATGCAGAAAAAATCAATTGATAGAGAACGTGTAAATCAGTGTTGATTTTCCAGGACGATCGACATTAGTTGACCTACAGATTGAAAAACACCCGTAGTTATTGGAGATTTGGTCCTTAGAGTCAAGCAACTTGATATCTCACAGTTTCATTCTTTGATGAATGGATTATGTTAAAAGTGTTTATTTGTTTCGAATCTTGGTGCATATTGTGAAGCAAAAGTCCCTCGAAATAATTTCATGTGATGCAGAAATGTATATAAATGTGCCTGAAACAAAATGAATGTCCTAAATACCAATAACTGTTTAAACATCTCCATCAATATAAGGTTTCTGCATCATTTGTGAAAGTGTCCTTCTCAAAGAGCGAAGAATCACAGCCAATTTCTTGATGATTTTGGAGGTTGTGCATCTGAATATTGCAAACTACCATTCAAGTGTTCGAAATTTTGCAGTTGAAATGTTTCATTTTTCAGATTCCGAATGTATACAACAATAATTATTGGAGTTGTTATGGAGAAAAATCGAAATTTTTCTGCCATGAATCAAACTCTTCACTTTGGAGAAAGCTTTCGATGATGTTGCATCGATGATGTATCAAAAAGCCATCCAAAATGCTGATAACAGCTGCAAAAATAATGTAATTGCAGCCATCATCAAAAATGATGATGAACATGCCTTTAGTCATCAGAAATGTATGCCTAGATTGTAGTGGTTTGTACAATGGAGAATTAATATACATGGTGCTGATTCCTATAATATGTACATTCTGAATGGTCAACCCAATTTATGATACTCCCCATGCACATATTCAGGATTATACCTTTATGAGGAATCATCTTGACCAGAGGTGGTTGTGAATTTTCAAATATATGTTATATCGAAGACTGTTACGTTTGACACAATAATGATTATAACTTTCTCAAATATTTCTTCAATAGATATAATTCAATGTTCGTCGTGGCATATAGCCAGGAAAGTAGTTGTTTTCTATTGAATTAACTGAAAAAGAGTAAATATTCTCATCACATAGAGAATGCGAATTCTCAATGTATTGCTTTATATAAATATATATCCATTTTTGTATGTTCATAATTTATCTGAGAATATTCCTTTTCAAGGCATATGAAGTTGAGTACATTTACGTAATTTGGTTATTGAATCACAAAGGGTTTCGGAACTAATCACAAGAAACCTTCTTCTTGGACTTGCCCTGAATGTAGACCACAAAAAGAAGCACACGGAATAAATACAAAGTAAACGTCAAAAAGTCACCATCTCTAGCCAAGATATCCGCAGCTCCCCCCGAACTAACTACCCCATCAAAAATAAAAAATAAAAATCTCAGTTCTCACTCACATTCAATTTCAGCTCAGGTACGCTATAATTGCCGTACTGGTCTATGATGCACTGAGCCTTCTCCACGAAGGCCTTTTTCGTCTCCTCCTGCCACCAGTCGACCAGATTGCCGTTCTTGTCGAACTGCCTGCCCTGGTCATCGAAACCATGGGTGATCTCGTGACCGATCACGAAGCCGATAGCACCGTAGTTCATGTAACGCGGCCTGTCATTGTTGAAGAATACCCCTTGCAGGATGCCAGCAGGAAATTCTTGAGAAAATTGATAATCGTTGAATAATCTTTTCGAATACCACTCGTGGTTCGAGTAGTAATGAATTCGTTCAATAATCTCTTTGAATATCACTCGCGATTCAGCAAAACGAATGAGTTCGTCGAATAATATGTTCATTTGTGGTGAGAAAGTATTTGCTCAGTATTATTTGCAGAATGATGTTCTATAGTTTCAAAAACAAAATCATTCGTCGAATAGTTTTTTCAAATACCGCTCGTGGTTCGGAAAGAAATGTATTCGATGATAGATCAAAAATGATCCTTCTCAAGATTCAGCAGGAAATAAAGTTCCTTGAATAATCTGTTCAAAACAATCGTTGAAAGATCAGCCGCACATCTAGGAAAAAAGTATTTGACGTGTAATGTCTGCAAACACCACTCGTGGTCAAAAGAGAAGAGTATTCGTTGGATAGTTTCAACTTCCGTTTTGGCAAAAAATTAAAATTCGTCGAATAACGTTTGCAAACGTTGAATAATCTTTCCGAATACCGCTGGCTCTTTGAGAATTGAGAAAAAACTTACGGATGCTGTTTTCGATGGAGGAATAGAAGGCGTTGACCACCGCTGGTCTACCATGGGTGATCCAATCAGTTTTATTCACCGGCTGTCTCAATCTCCTGAAAGAGAATCTGGTACCGAACAACGTCAAGTTCAGGATAGATCTCATGTAGAGGTTTTCATCCAGTTCCAACTGCAAGAACATTCATACCTTAACGATGTTCAAATACCACTTGTAGTACGAGAAATTATCTATTCGTTGAATAATCATTTCGAATATCGCTCGAGATTTGGCAAAAAATAGAGTGTCGAATAATCCGTCTTAATACCACTCGTAGTTCGAGGAATTTTGTATTTTTTGAATAATTTTGAGACTAGAAATTTCCTGGAAAATGTGTATATCTCTACATAAATAGAATGAAAACACTTTACCCCATCGTAGAACTCCTCCAATTTCTTATCATCTAAAAGTTCATCCGGGTAGGCTATGTGAGTTTCCATCGACTTGGCCTTGTCCAATGCATTTCGCCTTGTTTCCTCGTCCATCCAGTCGACCTCCTTCAGAATGTCTTCGAATTCAGTCCTGATGTCGGCAACCATTTCCAAAGCGTTCTGTTTGGCATCTTCGTGGAAATACTTTCTAACGTACAAAGCACCAGCAGCTATTGACAAGCTGAAACAAACGATTACTAACAATGAACAATGTTTGCTGATGGATTTTTTTTCGTGTTCCACAAGGCACAGTACTCGACCCGCTCTTATTCCTGTAGGACATAAATAGCTGATTTAATGGCTCTTACCTTCCGGCTGATATGTCGATGCATTCCTTCCATCTGGCTTCTCTTTCCGTCCGTCCTGTAACTATCGTGGTGTAATCTAGTTGTCTTTTCCTCAGAGCTTCTGTCAAATATGACACCGATGAGGCGGCAGCTCTCCACATGATGTAATTCGACTGAACTCTGTGTGAAATCAAGATTTATCAATTTCTTTTAGTCGATGAATGACGAGTACATGGAATCAAGTTAGGTACCCTAACGAGGGGAGTGTATCAACTTTGGCCTTCGTAATGCCTCTCAACATAGGGTAGCAGTAAAAGGTACAGTGACACTGTTCAAGGTAGTGCAATTTTTAGATATTTCAGTCAACATGATGAGAAAAAACATCTCACAACTCACCTTTTCGGAGTTCTAGCGATAAGTGCCTCGAAAGCCTTGATATAATTAGGAACACTGACTACTATAACCTCGTCAGACTCCACGCGAGTATCAGGTGCCAATAAATTATTCATATACTCCAACCAAGGTATGCTGGGGAAGTTCTTCTGCAACTCCCCCATCGTCATTGGATTGTACAAAGCGGTGGCGTTACGACGTTTCTCGCTTGGAAGAGAAATCTAAAGCAAAAATGAGGGAAATTGAACAAAAAAATCAAGCAATATGTTTTTTTTTCTCACATTCGCTAATTTTATCTCGAACTCCAAGGACTCTCTGAGTTCTCTGACTGCTCTATCTCTGTCGGCTCCGAAAAGCACGGCTAAATCGACCATGTAGTCGTAGTAAGCCTTGACGATCTTGTCATCCAAACCTTTGGTGAGGAACTCCCTTCTAAGACCCAAAGAAGCTTGATCGATCTGCAATATCATTTCAATTAGTTTGTTGTTGGAGAAGTGTCGAGTTTATATTTCACAACTCGCAATAAACGAATTTAAAGTGGTTAGAAATTCACTTCCTAATCCAGAGAGGCAAAAAATAAAATTCAACAGAGATGATTTTTGTATCAAGGGTGCTGGTATCGCATTCTTCACCCTATAAAATAATTTTTTCGATATAGATTGTAAATCTGAGACATACGTAGGCCAAACAATGAGAATATCCAAGCAACGCATTAACGAACACCGAGTGATTCAGATGGAGACTAAGATCGATGATCCTTCTGGTGGAATTCATATCATATCCACCATATCGAGAAATTTATCAAATTTCAGGCTTATATTGGCCGAACGATGAGAAAATTCAAGCAACGCATGAAGGTGCACCAAACTAGCTAAGCCACACAGAAAACGAAATGACTGATTAACACTTACGTTGAGTTCTTATCATCCAACTCTTCAGAAAGTCTATGAAATTTCAGTGATATATTGGCCGAACGATAAGGAAATTCGAGCAACGCATAAAAGAACATCAAGGTGAATCACAATCTATAGTTTCGACGACGAAAAGTCCATGAAATGTAAGGAATACGTTAGCTAAATTATAGGAAAATTCTTGAAATGCATGAACACTAAATTGTTAAGCTAGATGAAATTTCGACATACATTGGACAAACACTAGGGAAATACAAGCATCGCGTTAAGGAACACCGAGTGAGCTGAATCATACAAAAACGATATTTCAGATGAAAACTCACGTCGATGATCCTCTTGGTTGAATTCTTGACGTCCACCCCCACCGAAAAATCCATGAAATAGTCGACACTGTACCCGACCCGCCTGAACTTGTACACAGACCTCCTCCAATCGAACTCCCCCTCGCTCCATTTCTCTCCCTCTAGCACTGGCCAGCCCCCCAAATCCTTCAAGATGACATTAATGGTATCCAAACCGTCTTTCTCGATCATCGTCTTGTTCATGCACGCCCTGTAGAGCTTCTTGGTGAGCTGGAAGGGCTTAGGCTCCCCAGCATGGATAGGCTCCTCGATCATGCTCCTCAGTTGCTCTTGCAGCATGTCGCTGATGATGCTGAATGACGTCACCGAGGACTTGTCATCGGGGATGTTGGTGTTCTTAAGAAAATTCCCGCAGGTGAACTGGTAGAAGTCATCGCAAGGGTCCACGGAAGGGTCCATGTACTCGAGGACCTTGGAGGCTGTGTGGATGCAGCCCGACGACAGGCAGATCTTTTCTCTTTGGTTGTTTTTGCTGTCGAAGCTGTTGACTATGAAGGGGGTGCTTTGCAGAGCTTCGGCGTTGTAGTGGTTGTCTGGAATGAATGTCAATAATTGGAAATCACACAGGCGATTCAATGGCCCATTGATTTTATCGATAGCATAATGCTGGCACTATACAGGGTGTCCAGGAAAGTCATGTAGTAAATGCTTCTATCATATAAAACACATGTTGCACTTTAATTGTAGCAGAAGGTACAACATTATATTTTGTATAGATTTATGTGAATCACGATTACATTGGGAATTAATGAGTATTTTCTATTTTCAATGATCACTGGAACAGTACTGGTTGAACGATGATAAAACAATATTGATTCCCCAATGTCATAAAGACAGCAATGAAATCACAATGGACCATTAATATATCATGTGCATTCCACTGGCACAATTTATTTGACAATAAACAAGTGAATCGTATTGCATATAATTCTTCATCAATAGGAAATTATTTTTGTAAGAATGAATCACTTAATGTTCATTGGCAATGCATTGAAAACACGTTCGTCAGTCATTACTGGACTGGGCCAACAATGGATAATCAATAAATGGAAGTACTGCTACGCCAATATTGGCGTTAAGTCGGCAACGGGTCACTTTTGGATTTATCATTGGAAAATGCCAATATAATGCCAATGACAGTTCGCTGAGGCAACAACTTACAGTCGCAACTATTCCTCACTACTACAAATAATACTGCCAAAATTTCAATGGAAATGGCTAGAGAAAGCTTGTGAAGAAAATTATTCATGATATACAGAATTAATCGCAGAGGACATACCTACTGTTTGAGTTTGAATACGAGGTGATTTTTTGAAGTCATTCTACATATTATTCAATTACTCGAATACTGACAGATATGTCAAAACAAATGAAGAACAGAGAGTTGGAAAAATAAATGAGAGTAATTTTTCATCAGTTATAATTCACCAGTGGTGTCCCAATAAAAATTTCTAAAGAAGTTATTGGAAGATGAATTGGGAAGAAATCACCGAGTATAGAAATCATACCTCAATTATTATGCCATCACTACTAACATCCTCACATAGTTCGGGAGTTAAAAACACAGAAATTCAGCGAAATTCGACAACCAATCTCTACATGATGAAACCAAAGAATCTGTTTGATATTTTCGTTTATTTCGAAGATTGCCGAGATTAGTGGTTCGAGAAGAAATTTTGAAATTTTGACAAATCAGAATTGGTACGTCAAATTATGCATTTGTTCATCTGTTGTTAACCGGAAGTAACCTTTTGAGTTCCAAATAAAAATTGAGGATATACATTTACATACATTAGCATCATTTTTAGGTTTGGATTTTTAATTTTGGTACCTTCCATTATTGGTAGTGAATGGACGCTACTGAATTCGATAACCATTGATGGTATATGGGAGACAGATTTATATCGTCATAAGTACAAGCACGGACTGAAAAAAACTCGTATACTCAATCGGAATATTAAAAAACTGATATTGGGTCAACAACCAAACAGCTTTATCGGATACGAAACATTGACCAACTTATTAGCAATACATTGCTGTGATTTTAAGATAATTTTGCAATATATCGACACTATAAACTGTAAATACCTACTTGTGGATTTTAGTGAAACAACTTGCAGAATAGAAAGTACGAAATAGAGATTACCAAAAGGTGTAACAAGAGATCAAGGCTTGTTCAAAACATACTTTAAGAATTGATTTAAATTCCAAATTTGTGTTCTTTTTTATCAGCCAAATCATTAGAGCTATCATTTTTTTGGGTAGATAAATCAACTCCTACACGGAAAACGCTATTTGACGACGATAAAAAAGGATGCACCTTTTTCATTTCTCGACCAATGGTCTCGCAATTTTTTCATGTCAGTATTTCTCGTGAAATTACTGATCGGCAAATGTTTTCTCGTTATACCAAGAGAAATTCGTGCGATAAAAAAAGCTCTTGTATTTTTACTGTTGACAAAAATCTTCAAAATCATTTTAACGTAGGTATTGAGAATTTAATGTGGAATCTCAAAATCTGGAGTCTGGTCTTATTTCTCCTTTTTTCTCAAAATGAAACGTTGTATCCAGCTTCAACAACAACAGGTCATTTATTCGTACAAAACAAAATGGTCTTTTGTACTTTCGTGTAAAATTTCGAAAATTTCCTTCGTTGATTACTTTTTAGAGAAAAACAGAAAATAATATCCCCTTCGGGATTCCACTAGAAATCTGATTGGCAAAATGTTATCACTATATTAATTGATAGCGGCTGCCAAGTTGAATAAATCTAATTATTTTTGCCAACTTTGACAACCTCTTCAATATGTAAATTACATTTAAAAACACCCTGTATTATAGGATTTTCCATTTCCAAATCAATGGTGGAGCGTTGAAGCTATAAAATTAAAAATCCAAGTTGCTCACCTTTAGTTTCTTGATTTTTGTATAATACTGTGGCAAGAGCTATCACTAATGATATTCCGACCAGGAATGTTATCACAGTCGACAGGGTGAGACATCTCTCCATACTTGTACGTCGTTTCCACCATGTTGGATTTCTGAAAAAAAAATCGATGTGATCAATAAAAACATGGAGGAAAGCTAAATATCATTCTCTTCATTGATCAGGCTTAGTAATTTTCTGCTAAAGGAAGTGTTCCTGTGGAATATTTTCTCTTATTTTCATTGATTTATTTTAGTTGTTTAATTATATTTTTCATCCTGTATGAGTGAGACAAGTAATGTCAATACATAAGTCAGTCAGAAAATTGGTGTCTTGTCACTGACGAAAATTTGTAAAATACTATATTCAAAGGCGAGATTTGTATAAACCAAAATATAACCGGAGTCCGATACATAGTGGTCCTTCAAGTGCCCAAGCCTATTCTGCAGTTGCATACTTTCGGTACAAGATGGAGGAGTCCATAGAAGTCAGTTTAGTGATGGCTAAGTCTAGGGTTGCTCCATTGAAACCATTGTCTATACCGAGACTTGAACTCCAAGCAGCAGTTTTGGGATGTAGATTGGCAATCACGATCAAAGAAAATCACAGTATAAAGATCAACTCTACTTATTTCTGGTCAGATTCGAAGAATGTGATTAGTTGGATCAAAACAGATGTTTCAAATTTTAAACCGTTTGTAGCACACAGAGTCACAGAAATATTAGATTCTTCCGAAGGAACGTCCTGGAAGTGGTTACCAACAAAGGAGAATGTTGCCGATATGGCAACGAGAGATCGTACGCACGTTACAGATGAAAGATCTGAAAACAGGTGGTTATGCGGTCCACCATTTTTGAAAACAGAAATGGAGAATTGGCCCCACATTGAAACCATAGAAACCGATACTTCTGAAATTAAAAAACAATTTGTTGCAGCTATCTTTAAGTCATCAATGAACCTAAGAGAATCGTTACCAGATATCAGAAAATTTTCATCTTGGTTACGATTGATTCGTGCAACAGCCTGGATCTCTAGATTCATAGGAAAAATCATGAAAAAATCTCAACAATGTGCAGAATTGTCTCCTGATGAAATAGACATTGCTGAAAAATTATGGATCAAGTGCGTTCAATCAGAAGATTTCGGAGAAGAAGTGGAATGTTTACAAAATGGCCAACCTGTTGAACCGTCCAGCAAACTACGGAAATTGTCGCCAATTCTGGATTCTCATGGAATAATTCGACTGAGAAGCAGACTGATCTATTCAAATGACTTAGGAGAAGACACAAAGTGTCCAATTATTCTAGATCCGAAGAACCGCTTTACCAAATTATTAATCTTTCATTATCACTTGAAGGCAACACACAATGGACAAGCGTATGTAGCGAACGAACTTCGACAACGTTATTGGATTTTAAACATGAGGACTGCGGTGAGAAGTTCATGGTTCAATTGTCAATGGTGCAAAAATAAACGAGCCAAAGCTGAAATACCAGAAATGAGTCCGCTGCCAACTTGTCGATTGACTTCCTTTGTAAGACCATTTACTATAACAGGTATGGACTACTTTGGTCCTATGTTTGTTACCATTGGTAGGCGAAGAGAGAAGCGATATGGCGTTTTATTCACCTGCATGAGCACCCGTGCAGTTCATTTAGAAGTAGCGAATAGTCTGAGTACTGACTCCGCAATTATGGCAATCAGGAGATTGGCTGGTCGAAGAGGATTTCCGAAGAAGATTTTCTCAGATAATGGTACTAATTTGAGGGGCGCCGAGAAAGAATTGAAGAAAGCTTTGCAAGAACTTGATCAAAACCGAATTACTTCTGATCTAACAACAAACAACATAGAGTGGCATTTCATAAGTCCCTTAGCTCCACACATGGGAGGGAGCTGGGAAAGGCTGGTTAGGTCAGTTAAAACTTCACTCAATGTTATTTTGAAAGAAAAAGCACCGAAGGAAGAAGTACTCCACACCCTGTTGATTGAAGCCGAGAACATTGTCAATAGTCGTCCCCTAGTTCACGTTTCTTTAGATCATACTGACGAAGAGGCATTGACTCCTAACCATTTTTTATTGGGTACTTCAAGCTCTGCTCAAGTTCCAGGCAAATTTGATGAAGGCGATTTGATCGGCAGGAAACAATGGCGAATATCTCAATTATTTGCAGATCATTTTTGGCGCCGTTGGATAAAGGAGTATTTGCCTGTCTTGACTAAACGGACAAAATGGTTTCTACCATCTAAACGGGAAATTAGAGTCGGCGATATAGTTATTCTAGTTGATGGAGATTTCGCTAGAAATTCCTGGCCAAAAGGTATCGTCATAGCTGTTCATCCTGGTTCTGATGGCCATATACGAGTAGCTGATGTAAAGACAGCATTTGGTGAATACAGAAGACCCGTAACAAAGATGTGCATTCTCGATGTTGAAAAACCACAAGAAGAGGCTGAAGAGTAATGAACCAGTGTTCATCACTGGGAGGGAGTGTTCCTGTGGAATATTTTCTCTTATTTTCATTGATTTATTTTAGTTGTTTAATTATATTTTTCATCCTGTATGAGTGAGACAAGTAATGTCAATACATAAGTCAGTCAGAAAATTGGTGTCTTGTCACTGACGAAAATTTGTAAAATACTATATTCAAAGGCGAGATTTGTATAAACCAAAATATAACCGGAGTCCGATACAGGAAGTATTCCCAAAGTTGAATACTTTTCACCTATAAATTTGAATACTTATCCTCAAATGAGAAAACGCAATTTCGGCAATTTTCTTAGTTTTAAAATATGATGAGATTCCTATGAATCTGAAGCGAAATCTTGCGAAGTTAGCCATGTATCTCGAATTTATCTTGACAGGAATTTTAGCCCTCAAAAAATAGAACATATTCAATCTCGAAAGATATCATTGAACATGAATATTCTCAGATATAATATGAAGATGAAAACAGTAAATACCTTTAAGGAATACATTGTCAATTTGCATTCTCTATCTGAGAATATTCCTTTTCAATACTGTTATACCCAATCAAAGGGTTCAGACTTGAACGATTGAAATTTGTTTTTGAGGACCTCTAATCACAGATTCGTGATTGTTTTTCTCAATTCCGAGTTTCTTTCAACGCCCTGTATGATAAACATAGATTCATCGTACAACTACCCAAAGATATCGAGGAAAAATATTGTGTAGACTGTATGAATGTTCGCCCTGTCTTGATAAAGTTTAAGTTTATGATTCATCTTGAAAAAATATATCTAACACTTACTCTTTCTTCATTATATCAATGCTAGTGTAAGAAATGCTATCAAACATTGTCACTTCCATTAAACTGTCATTTATACGGAAAAAATTAAACTTCATCCAACAATTAACAAATTTATATTTATTGTTGATATATAAGGAACGTTGTTTCAATTCGCGATTCGTTAGAGACTGAAATCAGAATGGAGAGACAAGTTGGCATCAGAGATATCCATCCAAGTTGGCATGATGACTATACCTATTGAACGATAATCATCCATCATTTATCTTCGACTTTCATTATAATTGGATGATATGATCATTCATCACAAAAAAACTTGACATGATCAATGATTACGCGAAGGAGATAAAACTAGTCATCATGTGAGATAAAAAACAGTCTTTGTATGTATATGTATACATGGCATAAGGATGTTGCAAATTAGTATCGTGAAAGATATTTCTACAAATAGGCAACCATCATAGAAATCTTACCACATCTATTCATTTATAACTTGAACATATGTATATGTTTTGATATCAGACCATATACAGGATGTATCTAAATAACGCCGAAAAAATTCAAGGGGTGCTCCGTTTTTGAGATACAGGATGTTGAAGTTGGAAGTAATTATTGTTTTTATTTCTAACCCCCCTGGATTGCAAGAGGGAACTGAGCACTCTGGCAGACCGGAACTGCGTCAAGCTAATCTGGGTGCCAGGTCATCAGGGGATCGCTGGCAATGAGAAGGCTGACGAACTTGCAAGAAGAGGGTCGAACAACGAGCCAGATCCAGGACAGACTCTTGGACTACCAAAACGTTCAGCACGAGTGTCAGTTAAAGACTGGATTCAGGCATAACATAAGAGCTACTGGGAAAAATCCCAAGAAACAGACATGGGAAACAATACATTAAGGAACCAAGTCCCAAACGAACTGTAGACCTGCTCAACTTGAACAGAGCACAGATAAAAACTGTTACGGGACTCATGACTAGTCATGCGCCAGTAAAGGAGCATCTCGCCAGAATGGGACTGTACAATGGCGACCCAAGCTGCAGACCAGAAACAGTAGCACATATACTGTGCCGATGTGAGGCATTGGACCGCAGAAGACAGAAGATCTTTGGGCAACCAGTTGGCGAACCAGAAGTATTCAACTCACATCCAGAGAAGGATTTGTACAGACTTGTTCAAGGTACAGAGATAATGGAGAGGGCACAATAAAGAACTACTAGGTAAGATACAATGGGCCACCATAGGCTCGGAGACATGGTCAGACGAGCCTTCAAACGGGGTGGTTTTTAGTGGGTAAACCCTGGCTAGAGTCAGGGGAGTCCCACACTATCATATGGGGGATTGGACCCATATGGTGTCCATAAAGTATTTAAAGCACCTCGACAAAAAAACCCTGTATGAGCCTTCATGGAGCCAAAATTCAGTATGGTTGGAGACTGAGGATGCCTCAAAATTTCAAAATGATTGTAATTGGGGGGTTATTGAGTAATCTCAATGGGAGTCTTGAGAATGCCTACATTAAATTTGGAGTCGAATCGAATTTTTATAGTTTCCTCATAAACTGGGCAAGATACAAAAATCACAAAGGGGATAAAAAAGTTGTTATTCAAATGGTTCAATCTAATAAAAATATGAAACTTGAAAAAATCGGTGGCGTACAATGACATTCATCATAAATATCGCTAAATTGACCCACTGTGACGCCACTGGAAATATTATTTCGAATCTGATTGCACCAGAAGGAGCTCCATATTACTATCAACGAAACCACAATGTTTAATTGGAATTGATGAAAAGACAATTGAGTAACGAATAAAAAGCGATCTTTCATGGATATATCAATGCCCTGTATCTCGAAAACGAAGCAAGTTAGGCCACATGTTCATGTGAACTTTATTTCCTAAAATACCACAAAATGAATCGCCCCTTGAATGTTCTTGGTGTTATTTAGATACACCCTGTATAAAACCAATATTTGATGATTTCTCGATAAATAATCAACAGAAGTACACACTTTGTTTTTTCCTCTGATGCATCGAAAATAGTAGTGGCCCGAGCACAGAACTTTGAGGAACTCCCCGACTGTGTCACCAAAAATCACTCTCCATGCAATGTGAAATATTTCATTGCGTTTTTATGGAAAATTTCATTGATGTTTTTTTAATGTACCCACAGGACAATGATAATTGTGATGGAGATTGCATAATCATTTTTTTGGTTACAGACCATTTCATTTTATACTGCGAAACCATTACAATAACTATTGAGAGTGCAATTAGAACTACCTACATTGTTGAAAATTTTGACTCTTTCAATTCAATTCCCATCTGTAAATAGGTGGAATATTTTTTGTTGACCTGTTGTTGACCGATAGAACAAATTCAGAGATAAACTGGCTAGTGAGACAATCTGTATAATATATGGCATTCAATAAATATGGTGAATAGCGATAGGTAATTTATTGCTCTTGTTTCAGGTATACATAATTTAAAGTTCGTTTACCTCTATGATTGGACATGCATGAATATTGACGGTTCATTTGATTGAGGCAAGAAGTGAACAAAATCAATGCAGTAAGAGATTTCTCTATATCGGATTTATACAGAGTGTGTCCAATCGACAAATTTCCACTCCCAATAAAAACAGTCCTATGGAATAATTTTTGGTTGTCTCTCCACTTTCCTCTAAATATGAAGAACAATCTTCAGAGAATTTATAAATACATATTTGAATGATTTCATTTTCACTTCACTGGACATACAAAGTTCAGTTCCCGTACCGAGTTGCATTTATCACATGGCGTTTCGGATATATTCAGGAAATATCTTCTTTGAGGAGGCAGTATAGATTCCTAAGGAGCCATTTTCCTACTAATTTTTATTGGGAATTTTCTTCCTATTTTTGATCGAAGAAGCTGTTGGTGAAGTTTGGCAGAGTAATTCAGGAACAACCTGTATGAGCAGCATTCTACAATTTTTTTACGCGCACGGAAAGAAATTCCACCTAGAAAGGATGTGCTGACTGGGCCTGTCCAGTTTGTCTGAGTGTTATTGCTAATGATGGAATGATAGCAGATATTCCTCAAGAACATTGCCCGTGGAAGTATCTATAGACTTTTCCGACTGACTTTTCTACGGTGTCCTAACGAACTTGACGTATTAGTGAGTGTGGCATCACCCACCTGGTGGGTGTCCTTTCTTTGGATGGAATGCAAGAGCATCAGCGTATGTTCGGGTGCTGAACCTCATATGTGATAACAGTATTCTAAAACTAGCCGTATCTGTGCTTTGTACATCATGAGAAGCTGTTGAGGTATAAAGTAGATTTTTGCATGGAATAAAAATCCTAGATTTTGTGAATCAGCTTCCGAGTTGTTGTTAAATCAGGAATAGTGAGTTCCACCTTTCTAGAAAAGAAGGCTAGAGTTCTGGTTGCGTTGAATAGGATATTTAGCTTTAATCTGCCCCTGAAGATGCTGACATAGTTAGCGAAACAGGTGCTGAGGCCTAGAAAATCGGTGATAAAACAGTGTAGTGAGATTATTGTGTCAAAGGTTTAAGTCTTCTCCTTCAAATATTTTTTAAACAATGCGTCACTGACTATCGATTGAATTTCTCTTCTAGGTTTTGACTAGTGACATTTGAAACGTAGTACCATTTTGAAATATAAGTAAAAATTGTATTCGATGGAATTTTCCAATGCATGTTAATTTGTTAAGATTCATTTCATATTCATCGATACTAGGATTCACTTTATAATGACAATAAAATGATTATAGTAATAATAATGATTCATTAGTTTTATCTTGGATTTTATTGAAGATACAGCAACTATTACATGATGTTTGTAGTATATTTAAAAGCTAACGATTTGCTCAATCCAACCATGACCAATAGGTAGTGGTTTAGATGGTACTTATTCGAGTGTAATTAAATATTGTTTTCCTGTCTAAAGTTGAGTTGATAATCATCAATAACCATTTTTAATATGGAAAAACCGCGTTTTTTATATTCAAAGTATTCATAATCAGCAGTTTAGCAGTTAATAAATCAACCATATAATATGCTTTAACAAAAAACTATTATGTATGATGTTGTTTTCGAAGACTCAAAACCAGTATTTAATTTTCTATAGATCCACCTTTTCAAAAAAATATCATATGTTAATCATTCGAGCTTGTTATTTCCATTAATCGTCTTCGCCGAAGTACTTAATGATAGTATTGAAAATAGAAGAGAAATATTATATATTTACCTCACAGTTTTTACATCAAAGTCGAAAACCAGAGAACTCATAATCTAAAAACAATTCCAATTCACTAGACCTATACTTTTATCTGACAATTTCTGTTGTTTTCAAAAGTTCACAAGCGACTTGGAAACATTATAGGTACCTACGTTTTTATCATGAAGGTCGTATTTTCATGATAAACCGACATTTTTCACAATAATACGAAATTACAACCATTCCGTATATAACTCGGATACTTACCTATACATTAGTTCTTATAATCGCTTTCGTTAAAATGATTCGCAAACAAATCGTTCAATGTTGTTTATAATGGTGTTTGCCATACGAATTCACAATGATTTGCGTACTGTAATTTGTAGAACAGAAATATTTTGGAACATATAGCCAATTACCGTATACAGAGAATTTCACGAAGTACTCATATTATGTATAGCTATAAATCTGAAATCCGAAGTTTCGTCTTCTAGAAATCATCATCGTTCACAGGCCACAATGGGCCCGACTGAAGAGGCCTAAGTGCAAGGGTCACTTCCACTTTTTATGTTCTGGTTCTCACTAAAAGGGATATCCTGTAATGTTCAGAGAACATCGTGAGAACCAAGGGAAATAAGGTAGGAATTGGTGTTCTTCTTCCCTTGGCAATGTGTTCCAGAGCCTCGCTGTTCGTTGGATGAACGAGTCTTTGGAAAGAGATGTTCTGCAGGTCTCCAAAGTGACCACGAAGGGGTGCGAAGCCTCAACTCGACGGGTTAATCTCGCGGGGACTGCCAAGGGAGGAACAATTGGTGATATTCCAGAAGAGCATCGTTCATGAAAATATCTATAAAATAGATCCAGATCGCCAACTTTTCTACGGTGTTCCAGAGAAGTGAGTGAGTTCGTGAGCGAGGCATCACCCACAAGACGAATTGCCCTTTTTTGGACAGAATCCAACAGTTTCAGGGAATGTTTGGGTACTGCACTTCAAATATGGGAACAGTATTCCAGG